TGGCTGAACACTGTAGGGGGTTGGAACACACTTGTTTTTATCAGGCCAAGTTGTTGACCCACAATGTATTATGGGAAACAGACTCCAAATGACATGAGAATATTCAGTAAAACAATGGGCATATAATTTGATACAAGTAGTTTATTTTTTATTTTTATTTTTATTTTTGAGTCAGAGTTTCACTGTCACCCAGGCTGGAGTGCAGTGGCATACTCATAGCCACCGCAACCTCAACCTGCTGGGCTCATGAAATCCTTCCAAGTAACTGGAACCATCACAGGCCTTCCAAGTAGCTGGAACCATCACAGGTATGTGTCACCATGCCTGGCTAATTTTTTGACTTATTGTAGAGATGAGGTCTCACCAAGTTGCCCAGGCTGGTCTCGAACCCCTGGGCTCAGGCAATCCTCTCGCCTCTGCCTCCCAAAGTGCTGGGATGACAGCCTGAGCCACCAAACCCAGCTATTTTTTCTTTTTTTAAAATGTTTTACTTTGAGTTCACCCAGGGGGAACTATAGTCCTCTGGAAATCTCACTAGGAGAGCGAACCTTGAGAGATTATCTCTCTGAATTTGTTCTTTCAGAAAGAATACACAAGCCTCCTCTTCCTCTGGGTCAGAAACCCCACTCTTTCCATTTAGTTAAGTAACAAATATTTACCATCCTACGTTCAACCAATGTGGAAGATACAAGAAAATTATAAAAAGGACAATTGCCCACAGCTGACCATTTGCTCTGTTCCTGCCCAGCACGGTCTACATATACGACTGTTCAGTGAATAAGTTTCCAGTGTCATTAGCCAATAATCGCCTCTGCCAAAAGTAGTACCCTGTGGCTTAAGGGTCTGTTTCCACATCTGTCTCCCTGCTAGTTCCTGAGCTTCTTTAGGGAAGAATTGGTTTCCTGTTTATCGCTATATTAATCATACAGAATGTCTGAGACATGGTGTACAGCACTACTTGTTGAATGAATAAATAAGATAGATAGATAGATGATAGAGAGATAGATAGATAGATAGAGGGTGACTAATGGATGGATGCATGTATGCGTGAATGAATGAATGGTGACTGAAAGGCAAGACTTAAGGTCAAAGGAAGAAGTAGAGCAAACCAGATTGGAGGAGCAAGATAAATACAAAAATGAAACAGGTGGAAAAGATTTGTGGAGCAGGAGCACACCTTGGGAGACAGGTTGGATAGATTGTTCTATGATGATATTCAACACAAATTGCTCTATTTTCTCTTGTTCAGTCATTAGAATAAATTGAAAACCAGCCAGCCAGTATCTCCTTTGGAAACCCCTCAGATATTTGAAAACTATAGCTATTTAAACTCTGTCTTATTTTCTTGCAGTTATGTTCATATCACCTGACACATAATAGATATACAAGAAGCGTCTGCTGAAAGAATGAGTTCACGCTGTAAGCATCCTCTTTGTCACAGTCTTGACAGTGACTGGAGACCTTCCCCTAATCTATACATGAAACCACATTTCAGAGTCCCACAGCTTGCTTTCTGTCTTAGACAAAGACTGGTGAATTAGAGTTGCTGGGCTCTGGGTAATATTAGGTGATTATTAAGCCTGGCTTGATCACATATGTTTCTCCAAATATTTAGATGTCAAAAATCATTCAAAAATGTTAACATGACTTCTTCTGTATCCATCAGAACCCCTTTGCAGAATACAGCACATTTGCACAAAATGTATGGCATTTACCAAACCCTCATCTGAGCACCCCAGGATCTAAAGTGATGGCAAAGGCCAGAATTATGAGGATGATGTTGTGGGTGAGTTAGGGATGTCCTCTCTCCCAATTTCTTACTTGATTTAAGTTTGGCCTTTAGTTTAATCTTCAGCTAAAATTTTATTGGATTAGGAAGGATTCTGCCTCCTATTCACTGTCTTTCTTGTCCTGAGTTTAAAAAAAAAAAAAATCTGTCCCTGAGTCTCTGTCTATTTATTTCTCAGCCAGCAGAGTATGCCTGCTGTATTTCTACACTAAAGACTGACTTCTCCCTGCTTGGAGTCAGAACCCTGAACCATGATCCATCTTACCACCCACCTCTGTTACCTGGGACACCCTCTCCTTCTTCCCTTGAACTGCATGTCTGCTCTTCTCTAAGACTTCAGTAGCACATCAAAACTTTCCTACTGGTATTCTCAGACAAATCGCAGCTGGCTTCTAAGTTGACTCAGCTCACTCCTGCTGCGTGCTCATCTACAGATTTTGCCACCCGTTTGGCCAACTTTAAACTCCAGAGCAGACTACAACAGCCACCTTTTTTCAGCAACTCTATAGCACCCAGGCAGAGCCTTGCAGACAGTGAGATCCCAATACGATGACTGATGATTGACTCACACTCTAAAAGTGACTTCCTTGATGTCACCTCTAGCCAGGCTCTTTCTTGGGCCCTATATTTACTGACATTCACAGGTCCATTTACCCTCTCCAGGGCACTGCTGCCAATTGTCTTATCCTCTACTCAAAATCAGAATATTAGAAGGTGGTTTTTGTTGGTTGGTTGGGTTTTTTGTTTTTGTTGTTGCTGCTGTTGTTGGCTATGCTTCCAGAGAAATCTTGCTATTTTTTTGTCTTTGAGTTCCACTCCAGTAGGCTTTTTGTTGGAAAATTTCTGGGTCTAGAAACTCAAGAGTTATCCACATCACAACCTATGATGCATACACTGTCAATCTGCTTTGGAAGGTCATGTGGCAAATCTACACCCTTGAGGATCATTTTCAGACTGGAAAAACAGTAAATCAGTTTGACTGCTTTCCAGAATTCTTTACAAACATCAACAACCTACAATCCAACCATTTCTCTATGTATACCATTATGTGCTTTTCAAGATGAGTGTCATATTCTTTTTAATATTTTCTCTATGTTTTATGTCTTTTAAATAACTCTTAGCCAGGCTTGGTGGCTCAGCCTGTAATCCCGCGCCTTTGGGAGGCTGAGGTGAGTGGATTGCCTGAGCCCACGGGTTCGAGACCC